ATATTTAAAAAAGTAGAAATAGATCAAACAGAAAACCAAACTACAATTTCCATGGATGGATTCATTGTTTAAACAGTCATATGTGTAGAAAATAATAGTAACATTTAAAAAAATCTAATTTTAGCTTGTGTTTTCTTTGGTTACATTTTCACTATCATTTTGCCCTGAGTAAAAATTATTTAGTTGCATTGTACCGCTGATTTAGTGGTTCAGTGGTGCAGAGGTCATGTCAGTGTTAGTTTGGGATGCCATACTCACAGATGCTCGGTCACGAGACTGTCTGGCAACACTGAGAGGCTGGCGACTGTCTGATGGGGCTTCTGCAGGACCAAAAAAAAAGGCTTTTAAAAATGAAGTAGGACACATGTAACCTCTATGCAATAAAGCAGAAAACATAAGGTCCGTGGAAATGCCCTATTTGGGTCAATCATCATCATTTTACCCTTACAACATATGGTTTGTTTATACTACATGATGTCATTTATAGGATATAAAAAATGTTTAGTGGAAATCAAATGTTCTGTGAGATTAGGTGGAGGACTGTGCATTATGTAAGTCAACCCTAGAAATGAATCTAATTGGGGCAATGCAGCAGCACACTGAGCTTTCATCACTGGTGACACAGAACTGAGTGCATCAGGGAAAAACGAGGTGCAAGCTGCCTCTGAGACAGAGCAGCATCGTGTTCTTCCAGCTTTTAGGCAAAATTACCAAGTTGATACACTGTATGCAAAAATTTAATTCAGTAATAGCTTAAAAAAATCATTTAGTCATGCAGAAATGGACAAATGAATAAAACACCAAGTAATGTAAGAGACGTGTATTAAGAAATTCTTTCAGGTAAGAATGCATAATGTTCTTTTTTTAATCAAAACAACACATAAAACAATCAGAAATGAAATCAAATGAAACATTTTACAGGTTATTTTATTGTCAACAAATACAACACACACACATCCCCACCTCAAAAAAAGAAAAAGAAGAAAGAAATAAAAATCAATTGAAACCAATAAAAAAAGAAACAAACACCAAAGTCAAACAAAATCTGACACTCCAAGATGGATGTGATGGGATCTGGTGTTCCGGTGACTCCTAGAGGAAACACCAGCTGAGTGACAAACCAAAGCAAATTTATCACCTGTGGGTCTCCTCCTGGGGCAGGAATGATGCTGGACGGGACGTGTCTGGCGGACTGATGGCTTCATGATACTCTTCTTGGACGGAGATGGAGTCTGAGTCTCTGCTTTTTTGGTGAGCTCAGTCTTTTTTATGATAGCTACATTATCAAAGGAAACAAGGTTTGTGACAACAATAAGCAAACAAAGCTACTCAACATGTTCAAATATTAATTTTACTTAATTGTTTGATGAAGAACAAAGGTTACATTAATATGTAATTTTACATGCTTGAATCAAATGATCTATGTTTAGATGATAACCTTTTTTCTTCTTAATCTCTTCTCGGGGTATATAGACGGGTTCTTTGCGGACAGGTTTGCGTTCGGGAGTGGAGATCCGTCCTTTAGCTCGCCCTCCTTTGGTTTTGGGTTTAACTGGCTTTTCTTGTTTCTCTGTCATCCGCTGTTTGTTCTGGACCACAGAAGGCTTTTTGACTGGGCTGGGCACCTTTGGCAAAGGCTCAATATGCTCTGTTGCCATACTTTTGTCGTCATCTGTTAAAAAAATGCATTGAAGGCACAGTTTGAAACGGCAGGGGAAAAGGAAATAGGAGGAACATGATAACATAAAGAACAATTCAAAGGATGTCACCTTGTGTGTCTACCCAGGAGCTGTCCAGAATGGAGTCATCTACTGTGGTTTCATCTCTGTCATAGCTCTCTGTTGGTCCTTCTGTGTCTACCGTCTGGGTCCCCCTTCTTGGAGAAGCAGGAGTTTCAGGAACGTCACCCACCTCTTCTAGACTGGCCYCCTCCATATCTGCTTCTTGGGCAAACTCCACAGACTCTTCTTCTTCGTCTTCTTCTTCATCGTCYTCTTCTTCTTCTTCTGGCTCTTGTTCTTTCCTTGCAGACACACCAAGAGCTTCAGATCCAGGTATTGCAGAGAAACGAACGCTGAATCCTGGTTCTTCAGCTTCGTCGATTGTCTGGACCACAGTGATGAAATCATCTTCAACCATGACCACAGATTCGATTGCAGCATGGGTCTCTGGGATTTCCTTTGACATCTCTGCGCCTTCACCTTCCTTCTCCTTTGTGTTTTCAGCAACTTCTTCAGCTGAGTTTATGATGGCTTTTTCTTTTTCATGCTTTGTTTCGTGGTCTACAGACTGATTTGGGAGCTTTTRGTCCACCTCAGTCATTTTTTCTTGCTCTTTCTTATCTTTGAGTTCCATTTTTGTTTTTTCCTCCTCTTCTTTTTCTTGCGCTTCCCTCTCTTTCTTTTCTTTTTCCATCTTCTCTGCCAACTCTTGCACTATTCTTTCCTTTTCCATTTTTTCATGTAATTCTCTCTCTTCCTGCTCCATCTTTTGTCTCTCTTCTCTCTCTTTCTTCTCCCTCTCTTCTTTTTCCTTTAACTCTCTCTCTTCTTTCTCTTTCAGCTCCCTCTCTTCTTTCTCTTTCTTCTCCCTCTCTTCTTTCTCTTTCAACTCCTTCTCTTCTTTCTCTTTCAGCGCCCTTTTTTCTTTCTCTTTCAACTCCCTCTCTTCTCTTTCTGTCCTCATTTTTTCCTCATTTTCTATCAACTCTTTTTCCTGTTTCTCTTTTTCTTCTTTCTCTAATCTCTCTTTTATTTCCTGTTCTTTTGTTTGCCTTTCTATCTCTTCATCTTCTTTCTTTTTTCTTTCTTCCTCTTGTTTTTCTTTTATTTCTGCCTCCTCTCTGGTTTTCCTTTCCTCTTCTTCCTTTTTCATATTCTCGGCTGCCTCTCTTTCTTGCTCTTCCTTCAGCTTTCGTTCCTGATCGTCCTTCTCTTCTTTGTTTTTCCCTAACACAGGTGAAACAACCCTTTTGGGGGAACCATACATTTCTCTTTGTTTGAGTTTGGAAGGTGAGAGTACTGGGGAGAGCAACTTGTCATCGTCAATGTTGCTATCTACGGATGAAGTTGGTGAAGTTTTAACTGGCCTGGCAATTCTGTCCTTGGCCATGCCAGTAAGCTGGTAAACATCCTCTGCATCCACCTCCTCATAGGCTTCCTGGTGCACCAGCTTCACCTTTTCTCTAAGCTCCTGTAGTTCTCTTTCCTCCTCCAAACTCAGAGGCCTGTCTTCCATCTCGAGTTTACGGATCTGCCTTTCATAGTCAGCGATTTCGGTTTCAGATGCTGAAACTTCACCACTGGCTTGGCGTTCAATCTCACTCACTGGCCTCTCGCCTTCTTCTAGTGTCACGGTGACAGTTGGTGTCACGAAGGGCTCACTTGGATAAGCAGGAAGTGTCTCCTTTTCAGATTTTGTTGGTTGATCATTTACATCAGGTACGGTTTTTTGCTCAACAGAATCTTGTCTTCCTCCTTGCCGCTGGTCAACATCAGCAACTTCTGATGACTGGCTTTTGTCTTCCATGGATGTGTCTCTCACCGCTAATTTCCTTGCCTGCGCAGCAACTTTCTCTTCCAAGACAGATGGGGTGAAAGCTTGAGTAGATATGTTTGTAGGGCTGAGTACATCTGCAGGGGATGGCATCGGCCCTGAATACTCACTGAACACACAGTAGCCCATTTCTTCTGACTGGCTCTCATTTTTTCTCATCATAGGACTCAGTTCTCCTGAAGTTAGACCTGACAGAGAGTCATCCATGAAGGCAGGAGCATCAATTTGGATTGACTTTCTCCGTGTGATTTCAGGTTCTGTGTCATCTGAAGTTAGTCTGGAGCGAGGAGCAGCAATGTCCAGCAACTCTGGCAAGTCTTGTATCATRTCTGAGCTCTGAAGTGGCTGAGGAGATTCTGGAGAATCAGGTTCAGGGCTGGATTTTGGAGGTGGTTCAGCAGTTCTTGGAGGAGACGAAGAATCTGAAGTGACAGAAGCGGCAGTTTCCAGGATAAGAGGAGGGAATGGTGTTGGCTTCTCTACAGCAGGTGTAGATACTGGAAGGTAGTCAGCTGACTCATCTAGACTACCACTTGTATATGACATGATGTCCGTGGCCAGTGGGGAGAAGTTTCTTGGTCTGCCTTGCCCACTTTGATCTGTCGATCCAATGGTGATGTTGAGCGAGTAACTCCTCTGGTCTAAAGCCAGCTTACCTGGGGAAAGCCTGCATTCATTAATCCTGTCAGGGACTGGAAACGAGGGAATGTCTTTTACTGTATGTTTATTTGTTTCAGGATTATCTTTWGCTTCAGCCAGTGTGCTGTAACTGATCTCCTGAGACTTGGAATCATCTACAGTTTTGTTTTCACCGGCACGACTCAGTTCGTAATAACCCTCACCCTTATGGGGACCTTCATCAACATCCATAGCTGATGTTTCAAAGTATGCTGACATGCCAGATTTGTCTCCTGCATCTTTTGTTGTGTCTCCTTCATGAACGTTGACTCCCACTGAAGAGAAATCAGAAGAAGCACCAATGCTGCTGAACTCCACCACCTCCACMGATGGCTGTTTTTCTGAGACTGTGATTGGCTCTCCATAAGTGGGCTGGAGTGTAAGAGATTTTGGTGATTCTTTGGCTTGACTTTGAATATCTGGAGGTACGAAGGACGGCATATCCATGGTCGGGCTTTCTGGTACAACTCGTTCACCGGCGAAGAAGCTTTGAACTTGAGGCTCAAAAAACTCCTCTGGTCGTTTCTCAGATCCAATGCTGTCGGGGCTCATGGACTCACTTTCAATCTTGTCTGAGTCCATCTTCGAAGCTGTAAAGATATCTGTAAGTTGACTGCTTTTATCAACAGAGACAACAATTTCTTTAGCATGCCGTGAATGGGATCGTTTTTAAGCCAATGACTGGAAAAGCCATCACGAAAACAGGCAAAGCTCTCCTTCAAAACTTACAGCACAATGATACAGCCATCAATGAAGAAGTACAGCAAGATTATGGGTCCACCAAGTCACAGATGGATGAAAAATATGAGATGGCAGATCCGATATGAGGCAACTGCAATGCTGATTTATGGAGAAATGTTACAACAGATGGGATGAATAACCATGCACCAAACATCAACCACCAAAAAGCATTTCTACTATTCTGTGTATGGTTGTGATTCATTGAGAATGATCCTTGGTAAAAGCAAACAATATCCATTAGTCTATCTACACATCCAATAGGATTTTACTGTAATAGCTTTACGCTGTCATTATATCATCCAAAAATCACCAGTAATTTGGTGAATGACAGAGAAATGCCATTTGGTACTGTTAAAATGTGACAAAAATGACAAATAAAGGATATTTTCACTGTTATYGTCATGTATTCATTGAGATATGGTTCTAGCCCTAACTGCACCAAATTGYGCATGATATCCATTACAAACCTACCTTCAAGCTATCTATGCTAGCAATAATGATAAAATGTGTGAAGCGTGTCTTTTAACTATGATTCATGGCAACAAAGAATGTGTAGCACTGGCATACCAGCACAAAGCCATTATGTATAAACATAATGAGAATACTGTAAGCTTATAAGCTGGTGAAATAAAAAAGGCACTGCTAGCATCACTTCACATTATACCAACACGAAATGGCCGGCCCCAAAACCAGAACAAGAAAAAAAAACAGAAGCAAAGACAACACACAATAAAACCAGGTCAAGTTAAACAATGTGGCCGTTTTCACCAACAAGCCTGTGTTGCCTTGCAGCCGCAGCAGAGCGCAGGGAGAATCACTTGCCATTCCATTTGAATTAATGCTAAGGTATTTACTCATTTTGACACATCTTGCCTTCTAATTAAGTGGAACAGTAACATGCAGGTAGGGAGAGCGGAGAGCAGGACACACCTGTCTCATGGCTTTCCTCCCCCTCTACTTCCTCCTCTTCCTCTCTGTCCACAGAGCTTTCTGCAGCAGCACTATCTGCCTCGGACYCCCCCAGGTCTAGATCCTGGGCCTCGTCTATGGCCTCTGCCTGATCTACAGGTTCAGGTTGGGGGCTGTCCAGCTCGGGCTCTTCCCCACTCCATTGCTGCTCATCAAGAGCTGCTTCGGATTCTGCTGCCTCTGCACTCCCCTCCTCCTCCTCCTCCTCTTCCACCTCCTCCTCCTCCTCGTATTCAGCTGTAAGAGCCTCCATGGTCTCTTCTTCTCAAGACAGGGTGAAAAGTGAGGGGGGGACACGTTTAGACTACAGGCAACACAGACTTGGGTTATATGACAACACATCTTATGAAGGGATACTTTCAGCTCTGTGAAAAGATGAACAGAAGTGTTTTACTGTTAAAACATAGGATAACATCTGACTTATTGTGCAGACTGTTTGGTGAGTGGTTTACATTCTACATGAGGTTTCACAGTCAAACGTGTTTACTAAGAATGCTTACAGTGAATGTGGTCTTTCACTTTGTTCAACACATGATCAAGACTAGTGTACAATGCTTTCTCAGTACATTTGTACTGTCTAGATTACATACAGACAGTATAACGATATAGTTTTCTAATTTCTAATGGTAAACTGTTGTAATGGAGAATTTCTATTCTTGCACGTACAGCTCAACTTGTTCTGTGTAAGTAGTACATTTATTTATTTATTTATTTACTGCTTTTCCTGTTCCTTGACCATTGCAAAAAATGAAAATAGTGAGTGATTTGACAAAATAACTTTTATTATCTAAAATCCATCAGCACATGTAGCTGATTTCTGACATGGTATTCATTATATAAAGTAAATAAAAACAAAGTTGTATAATGAGAGAACTGTGTCTTTAATAAAATAGAGGAAAAAAAGACAGCATTATAATCAAAATTTGTTAAATGCAATGGTAAGCATTTTAATAGACAAATCGAAGAAACAGTTACAGAAAGTGAATCTGAAAAAAATATATATTATGCCTATCATTTTATAGCACTTATAATGTCAAGCAGAGATTATGATAGGTGAATTATATGTAAACAAATGTGTGTAAGACTTTCTTTAAAATAAATCACTGACTGTGAGCTTAAATAAATATGGTTAATTGGTTATAGGAACGTAAATATCATTATATATTCAGGGACAAACTGACTGCACAGGAGAGTGCAAGACGCTAACAGTTTTCAGCTACTCTTTGATTTGAGTCGCTGTGTTTGTGTGTGTGTGTGTGTGTGTGTGTGTGTGTGTGTGTGTGTGTGTGTGTGTGTGCTGAAAGCCTTCCTTGTTGCCAAAGGGAGAGTGTTAAGAGTAGGTATTGATGTGTGAAGAGGTAGTGAGACGGTTCACTATGGTTGAAGAAAGAGGGGGTTTACTTAAGGAGGAAAATGAAATGCAAGTCTGGCTTTGGCAAAGGGACTGATCTGTGCATGGAGGTCATGCACAGTGTCTGAGAGAGTTATGAAAGCAACAGATCTTTAGTCATAGTATTAAAGTTTTGTGAGTCATCTGGTCTTAATGATGAGAATGTTCACTGAATAACTCACAAAAAAAAACTGTCAAACTTTAAAGACATCACAGCTATGCATTGAGTTAACGGCGTGGCAACCACAGCTAGCAATGGCTTTTGGTTAAAAACATGGATGAAAATAAAAGGAGTGTGACTGTTCAAAAAATATGCCAGTTTTTGAGTGAACATACATCACAAAGACAGAAAAACTTAACACAAAGACAGACGGACAAAGATACYAAAAGACGAGTTGACGGACGGAGAGACGGGGGGGTCAAAAATAGGGCGAGATGACAGGGAAAAAGGTGGAATCACAAAAGGAAGGAAAAAAAAGAGCGAAGAGATGAGGGGAGAATGGCAAAGAGGAACCATGCGTGGTTCACCTTCAATCTGTCTAAAGGCCACGGCGTGCCCTGTGGGGCGAGCGCCCGAGTGCGTCCACTCTGGGCTGAACAATGGGTGCTCATAGTACTCCTCGTCGGAGTGGTAGGGGTCATCCTCGGGCACGGAAACTGAGATGGAGGGGGCGAGGAACTTGCACCTCTCCCGAGAATTTTGGAAGCGGCGGAGAGGGCCCGCCTCCTCCTCATCCCCTACATCTATGAACAAGACAGACACAAGGAGAAGAACTGCAGGGAAATTTGGACACACAGACTGAAAAAGAGAGTGTGAAAGGGAATGAAAAGGTAAAAAAAGAAAACAATACAAAATGGAAAACGGACAGGAAAATGGCCATCTTAATAGGAACTTAAAGTAATGATGAGACTTAAAAGCTTGTTTTGGTTTTTTTGTGTCTACATATAATGCTTTGTCAAATCATTCTACACTTATTGTCAATTTCTATAATAGTTTATCTGTGCCAACTCACTTTGAAAAATGGTGCTTCTTAGTTTAACTTTAAAAAAGAGATCAAAATTAACCGAAAACAAAATTTTGATAAGAAAATAAAGAAACCTAACCAATGCCAAGTTATGCTACATGGACTAAATTATTAAATCATTAATTTAGACTTGGACTAGCTAAATAGACTAACTTCTTAACTAAACAAAAAGTCAAAAATCTTTGTTTCTTTAAAGACGGACATTAAAAAAACATAGAAACCTTGTCTAATTTAGAAAAGGCAACAAAACCAGAAGAGCCTCACTAAAACGAAACGTAAAAACAAGACGATTGGTTGAAAGGAACAGAGTTGTGACACACACCACAACAAGAAGACAATGACAAGCAACTCAAAGGTATCAAAGCTTCGAGGGGCCAGCCTTTACAGTGTCTGAGACCAACCAAAGGAACAACCTTTCAGGGAGAAAACTGATTCACTTCATACTATTATTATTAGGACAATCAACAGTAAAGGTTACACCAACAGAGTTATAGCAACAGCAATGATACTTCACAGTGGTATTTGTCACAAAGCCAACTGTAACAAAACAAACTTCTTTTCCTTTTAGGTTTCAAGGATTACATTACAACACCACCCTAATTACCTAAATTGACTTACTGCTCTGACTGTTTAGGAAAACACACAGAAATATTCACCAAGGAATGCGTGGTTTCATCTATGTAAACCTTTACTAAGGGTAAAGTTTTATTGCACTTTATTAACAATTACTTAAAATAAAATGGCTCAATCACAAATRGTCGGTCTGTGCTCTAAAAGGAAAACTGGAAAAGGTAAATCAGGAACTAAAAAATTACATTGCTGACTTTCAAATTGTAAAAGACCAATTTTATAGGAATATAGCATTCTTCCATCAGAAAAAAATGTCTAATATTGTATCTCATTTTATTTTATTTTTTGTATAGTTTTTTTTTTTGCATCTTGCATCATTCACTCAATTCATATTGTATGGTGAAATAAACCTCCACCCAGTATAACTGGTAACCAGTAATCAGTGGGGTATATCTCAACAAGAGGTGGTAATGCCACATGCTGCTTTTCGGAACCAATTTTATTGGTATCTCGTAGTTTTTTTCCGRCACTGCTGTTTATCTTGTAATAAACTAACACTGTCTTAATACGCTGTTCTTAATTGTCGATGATTTTATTATTTAATATTTTGTGTTTTTCTAGGGTGCCACTGTACAACTGGCCACCAGAAATACATATGAAAAACTAGCCTTTGGCTGATTCTGTCATGTTACAGATGCACTGTTATTAATATGCACTGTCCTGCTAAATAAATAAATTAATTAATTAATTCAGTGGGGTATATCTGAATATACCCCACTGCCAAACACATAAAAAATAAATAAATGAATAAAAAGAGACTATGACCAGAAAACATAACACGATGAATACGGACAAGGAAATAAAATAGAAGCCTAAAGGAACAAATGACACAAATTTGGAGACTACCTAAATTGACTGTTGTATTAGTGCATGAGGAGACAGCGACATGTGTAAGTTAAAGAAAAAGTGGATGCATATGGTAATGAAAAGAGTGCACTTGGAATAAAGAAGTGTTCATGCATGGGAAGATGTCTTTGTCTGGAATAAATGATGGCGACGATGAAGATTTGGTTACAGGTGTGTGATGAAGAGGAGGAAGCAGGATCCAAGAGGAGATGGATGAAAGGAGAAAGGAGAACATGTTGCTTTTAACAGCTTTGGTGGGTTTCTTAGCTGGGTATCAGTGTGTTATCAGTCCCTTGGAGGTGGGGTATATCTCAACACGAGGTGGTAGTGCCAGATACCAGTACACAAATATATTGGTGATAACAGAACACCAGAAGCTATAAGTTAGGGGGAAAAAGAAAACCACACTCATAGTTTAGGGTGAGAACAAACTTGTTTATTTCTGGCCTACCTTGTTCCAAAGGACCAAAGTGCTCAGCTGCAGGTGAGGGGGGAGGGGAAGGAGGCAAATTGGTGGTATCTTCAACTACAAAGTGGTAAAGTGAGAAGATCAGGCAAGAGTGCAGTAATGAAAATCCCATAAAACAGAAAACTTTTGACATCTAGCATTATTAATTGTAGGGGTGTCCCAATACCAGTTTTTTCAAGACTGAGTACAAGTACGAGTACTTCAGTTTAGGTACTCACCGATACCGATACCGATACCAAGTAGCGGGGTTCATGTGGATTATTATTGTTATTATATAATAGATTACTAAGCACAGTAACAGCCACTTTCTTAAGGTTTGGGAACTGGTGAACATTTATGTCACTCCAAAACTTAATTGTCCATTTGTGCGCAGCTCTTCAGGCAGCGACAGTGATGACTGAATGTCCACAAGTTCAAGAACGAACTCCCCCTCCTCAATAGAAGTGACCACTCCCTTTACGCTGGCGGAGAGATTGTTGTCTGTAGCAGGAGCAGCAAATGGGTCTTTGGTAAAGCGCATCACCTCTGTGGGGAGTGAAAGGCCATTCAGTCGGCTGGCAAAGTTGTCTTTTAGTTTCGCAACTAAATCCATCATCGCTTCTGTGAGAGGTGCCGTATATGTGATGCATTTGCGTAGCGTAGGAAAATGCAACATTCTTCCTGAGCTCAAGTCGGCAGAAAATAGTTCCAGTTTGGCTTGAAATGCGCGCGTCTGTTCCACCAGATCAATGACGGTTTTCTCTCTGCCCTGTAGTCCGAGGTTTAACTGATTTAAGTGTTTGAACAAATCAGAAAGGAAACACACATCTGCCATAAAGTCCGTGTCCAGTATCTGTTCAACTTGTTGAATATTAAACAGAATGAAAATGAAATGCAATTATCATGCAAAAATTGATGGGTAAATATGTTTGACAATAAAAAGGTAGTGCAAACTCTGACAAGTAGATAAGTTGGTATATACACTCACCGGCGACTTTATTAGGTACACCACGCTAGTAATGGGTTGGACCCCCTTTTGCTTCAGAACTAACTCAATTCTTCGTGGCATAGATTCAACAAGGTGCTGGAAGCATTCCTCAGAGATTTTGGTCCATATTGACATGATGGCATCACACAGTTGCCGCAGATTTGTCGGCTGCACATCCATGATGCGAATCTCCCATTCCACCACATCCCAAAGATGGTCTACTGGATTTAGATCTGGTGACTGTGGAGGCCATTTGAGTACAGTGAACTCATTGTCATGTTCAAGAAACCAGTCTGAGATGATTCCAGCTTTATGACATGGCGCATTATCCTGCTGAAAGTAGCCATCAGATGTTGGGTACATTGTGGTCATAAAGGGATGGACATGGTCAGCAACAATACTCGGTAGGCTGTGGCGTTGCAACGATGCTCAATTGGTACCAAGGGGCCCAAAGAGTGCCAAGAAAAGATTCCCCACAKCATGACACCACCACCACCAGCCTGAACCGTTGATACAAGGCAGGATGGATCCATGCTTTCATGTTGTTGACGCCAAATTCTGACCCTACCATCCGAATGTCGCAGCAGAAATCAAGACTCATCAGACCAGACAACGTTTTTCCAATCTTCTCTTGTCCAATTTCGATGAGCTTGTGCAAATTGTAGCCTCAGTTTCCTGTTCTTAGCTGAAAGGAGTGGCACCCGGTGTGGTCTTCTGCTGCTGAAGCCCATCTGCCTCAAAGTTCGACGTACTGTGCGTTCAGAGATGCTCTTCTGCCTACCTTGGTTGTAACGGGTGGTTATTTGAGTCACTGTTGCCTTTCTATCAGCTCGAACCAGTCTGCCCATTCTCCTCTGACCTCTGGCATCAACAAGGCATTTCCGCCCACAGGACTGCCGCTCACTGGATGTTTTTTTCTTTTTCAGACCATTCTCTGTAAACCCTAGAGATGGTTGTGCGTGAAAATCCCAGTAGATCAGCAGTTTCTGAAATACTCAGACCAGCCCTTCTGGCACCAACAACCATGCCACGTTCAAAGGCACTCAAATCACCTTTCTTCCCCATACTGATGCTCGGTTTGAACTGCAGGAGATTGTCTTGACCATGTCTACATGCCTAAATGCACTGAGTTGCCGCCATGTGATTGGCTGATTAGAAATTAAGTGTTAACGAGCAGTTGAACAGGTGTACCTAATAAAGTGGCCGGTGAGTGTATATCACACCATAACTTTTGAAACCATTTATTTTATTTCAAACAGGCTCTTTTTATAAGGCCACACTCCCTCTGAATGTATTAACAAAACAAATACTGCAAAACAAATGCTGTTGCATACATTAAAAAACTAAATAAGTTATTTTTTATACATTTTCCTCAACATGCAACTGCCAAATTTAAATTAAAATGTAAAATATAACGTAAATTTTAGCAGCACATCTATAAAAGTTTACTCTGCTTCAGTCTTAAACTGTTAACAAAAAAAATGACTAATAGTAATAAAGTGCAGTAAATTTCAGTTCAAACTTAAATGGAACAACTAAAACAAAATCTCAGAAGAACCACAGTGAAAAATAAAATGCTTTTACAACAAACTTCCTGCCATATTCTGCTTATGCCTTAGTTTGTTCTACAAGAAAGAAAAAACAGCATTGAAGTTACTGCAACAACAGTGCTGTTTATGAAGGCTACTGCTAGCAGCAGCAAACTCTTTGAATTCTTTGTCATGTCTTGTCCTCAAATGTTGAATCAAATTGCTGCTGTTAAAACATCCAACTTCCGCTCCTCCCCTCGACAGTTTAGCAGAGCACAGCAGACAGTCTGCTTGTTAGGTATCCTCGTGTCGATCTTAAAATATCTCCAAACTGCCGACAAGTTACTTCTTCTTCTTCTTCTCATCGTTCTTCTTCTGTTGTTCGGGGGGTGCGGTCGGAAATAACTTGTCAGTGCATTAGCGCCACCGCCTGCTATGGATTGTTGTTTACCCTTTGTGCTGCAGCGCAGCACAGGAGGGGACAAAAGCGGTATCGGTTAAGAGTATCGGCCGGCTTTTACGAGTACGAGTACTTGACGCTGGTATCGGGACACCCCTAATTAATTGTACGTAAAAGCTAGAGCTATATTAGTGGAGCAAAGTAAGACCAGTCCAAAATACTGTGCATCAAGCCATGCAGCTGGTTTTAAACATAAAATGATGAGTATTATTACAGAACAACCAGTTTGTCTGGCTGGTCTTGGTGTATATTTACAGGGAATGATTGTTTGTCCTGTAAATATGCTGTCTTCTTGAATAACGTGTGTGTGGTTCCATGATGCCATGTAGTGTGATGAACTTCTGAACTTCGGGTGTGACAAATGCTGACTCAAAGTGGCCTAATTAGATGGTTGAATCACTGGCGAGCTGCACGGTGTTTTGCGCTGACCCTTTTTGGACCATGCCAACCTGTATTTGTTTTGTGCATGGCTCTTACTGCGCCGCACTCGCACAGTCGTCTCAAGGRGCGTCTCACCTGACGGCAGCCGCTGAGTCTCCTGTTCCCCTTTCAGCACTGCCACTGCCTCTGCGGTCACTTCCTGCACAATCCTTGCCGACACTTGTTCTGACAACAGACAGTTGCGTAAAAACAGAAGGTAAATTAAAGGTAATTCTGAAATCTATGTTTAAAGAGAGTAAATTGGATTAGTTTAGGAGTTTATTCTGGCTGAAAACAGTAGCTTGAATGTACCAGAGGGACGCAGATCAACTGTAGCAGGAGAATAAATTAACATCAACTTTCATAGTATGCATGGATGCTAAAAGGTTAGAGTTAGGTTAACAGTCAAATGTATTGTTTATTTGTATCAGACTGTTTCTGTTCAGGTGTGCTTGGAGCTGATGCCTATCTAAGGCAGTCAATGAGCAAAAGACATAGAACAACTTGAACAGGTCCATCGCAGAACCGCATTCTTTTTCATACCGACTGATAATTTAGAGTTGTCAGTCACACTATGATTTGCAAGTTTTTTGAAACTTTTTTGAAACTATTTTTTGTTTGTTTCATTAAAAAATAAACAAAACTTTTCATACAATGAAACAATACAAATCAAATAAAATGAAAGGCGGCAGAAGAAAAAAATTCTTATATCTGCTCCTTTAAAAAAAATTAAAAT